CGGCTACATTCCGGGAGAGGACTGGAGGGCCCCTAAAATCAGAGCAATGCAGACAAAGGAACCATCAGATACAGCAAACACGCAGCAACACGCCCCTTGTAGTGACAGACCCCATGCAACGGCAACACCAAGCGCAGCGACAGACCCCATGCAATGGCAACACCAAGCGCAGCGACAGACCACATGCAATGGCAACACCAAGCGCAGCGACAAACCCCATGCAACGGCTACACCAAGCACAGCGACAGACCCCATGCAACGGCTACACCAAGCGCAGCGACAGACTCCATGCAACGGCAACACCGAGCACAGCGACAGACCCCATGCAACGGCTACACCAAGCCCAGCGACAGACCCCATCCAACGGCTACACCATGCGCAGCGACAGACCCCATGCGACATCTACACCGAGCGCAGCGACAGACCCCATGCGACATCTACACCAAGCGCAGCGACAGACCCCATGCAGCGACAGCAATACATCATGCATAGCCCTTCCAGGTCCTGCATACCTCTACACTGCGGCTCCGGGGTAAGTTCACAGCCCTCCGCAGCTTCTTGACGCAGTCGGTGATGGACGGGGTCTCCACGCTGTCCACCGTCTTGCAGATACTTCTCACCGATTTGATGATCTGGTCGGCAGCTCTGTACGGGTTACTCTGCAATAATCAGACATCAGGTGACCCCGTGAGGTGACCCCAAAGCAGGTGACCCCGTGAGGTGACCCCAAAGCAGGTGACCCCGTGAGGTGACCCCATAGCAGGTGACGCTTTATGCCGAGCCCATTACATACAAGTCAAAGGAGACGACTTTAGCATTGCGTCATGTGACTGCGGAACATACAATCAGACCAACACATGCACCGGCCACGGTATGTTAGGCACGGGCCCCCCAGGGCCACACTCATCACTGAGACGACAGACCCCATGCAACGGCTACACCGAGCGCAGCGACAGACCCCATGCAACGGCTACACCGAGCGCAGCGACAGACCCCATGCAACGGCTACACCGAGCGCAGCGACAGACCCCATGCAACGGCTACACCAAGCACAGCGACAGACCCCATGCAACGGCTACACCAAGCCCAGCGACAGACCCCATCCAACGGCTACACCATGCGCAGCGACAGACCCCATGCGACATCTACACCGAGCGCAGCGACAGACCCCATGCGACATCTACACCAAGCGCAGCGACAGACCCCATGCAGCGACAGCAATACATCATGCATAGCCCTTCCAGGTCCTGCATACCTCTACACTGCGGCTCCGGGGTAAGTTCACAGCCCTCCGCAGCTTCTTGACGCAGTCGGTGATGGACGGGGTCTCCACGCTGTCCACCGTCTTGCAGATACTTCTCACCGATTTGATGATCTGGTCGGCAGCTCTGTACGGGTTACTCTGCAATAATCAGACATCAGGTGACCCCGTGAGGTGACCCCAAAGCAGGTGACCCCGTGAGGTGACCCCAAAGCAGGTGACCCCGTGAGGTGACCCCATAGCAGGTGACGCTTTATGCCGAGCCCATTACATACAAGTCAAAGGAGACGACTTTAGCATTGCGTCATGTGACTGCGGAACATACAATCAGACCAACACATGCACCGGCCACGGTATGTTAGGCACGGGCCCCCCAGGGCCACACTCATCACTGAGGATCAGCAGCCATCAGACAAGAAAATTCCCCCCACAGGGGGGGGGGGGGGG